CTCAGTGTCTCTTGTCCTCCATAAATTACCTCTTAAAATAGCAACAAGGAAAACCCAGCTGAGCCCAAGCCCCATGGTGAGCGGTCTGTGTTCAGTCCTGATCAGGGAATGAGAACAGCTGGGGATCCCGGGGCTGGGCTCCTGTCCCAGAGCTGCAAGGTCGGGGCTGGGCTGTTTTTTATGACTAGAGGGAGCCCTATTTGCATGTCCTTCTGCTATATAGAGAGCTCAGGGGTGAACCTACAGATATGTCAGTAACTCAGTGCAGGTGAGAGAATTCTAGGGTATTTGTTTGCCATGGGAGCTTTCCCGTCACTAAATACAGAATTATAGGGAGATTTGGGGTTTGTTGATGAGACCACATCTGGTAACAGTGACTCAGCACTAGGCTCTGATAATCCTCACTAGTCTCCATTTCTCCTCTGAATAAAACTCCTGGACAGGGCGGGACCTTTCCATTGAGGGTGAAGATCCCCTTGAGTTAAAGGAGAGCCTTAATGAGCCCCTGTATCCTAGTGTTACTCACACTTTGGGGTTGTATCCGCCTGTGGCCCTAGTGTTCTCACTACAATGGAGAAGGTTGTGCATCACCATGAGGTGGTCCTAGGTGAGCTAATTTGAGTCACGTTCACTGAGGTCTGGGACATAGAACTGAAGTCTCTGTTGGTCCCAGGACCACTATCAAGTGACACAAAAAATCTGAGTGATGAGGGAAATCTGAGTGGTACAGGATGACAGGACCCATGGTCTGTTCGCTTTGTCCATATCCTGTCCCCTAACAACCTCTAGGTTCACTGTCTGTAGGAATCCTCCAGGGGATCTCATGTCTGCAATCAGACATCACGCTCTTGGTGAGTGGTTAGGATAGGTGTGGTCGAATAGCAATAGCACACCCGTGAGTAACAAATTGAGTTATTGTCAGGAGTGACCTCTCTCTCTCCCTGGGAGGCGGGGCCTGAATCAGGTGGCTTCCCTTTCAATGGCTGGACGGGAGCCCATCAGCTCAGGTCCTGGAAGGAGGAGCTGGGCCAGACTCTGGGGCCCAACCTCAGGAAGCCCAGATATGAACAGAAATGGCACTGGAGACACTAGAGCAGCATTGGATGAACCACTTCAGGCCCCTGAACTCTGATCTCCTGACCTCTGACTTGGCAGAGCAGCCTTCCTTCCTTGGGGCTAGAGGCTCAGTCTTTATATTAAAGCATGAAATTGGACTTTACAATGTTAATTATTTGAGAGTTTAGTCAGTATGTTTAATTAGATTAGGCTCCTAGAAAATCTAGCATGAAATATAATCCAATAGAAATGATCACAGAAAAGGGCGTGATAGAGACTCACAGGGGAGGTTCCTGAGAGAGCTACCGGAGGGAATTAAGTCCAGAGGTTGCAGGTGGTCAGTGGGGACAAGGCTGTCAGGAGGCTGTGCAGAGGGAGACAGAGCAGAGGAGGAACCATCTCTGGTGACCTGAGATTTGGTCTCTAATGGGACCTGGAGCCGGACTGACCGTGTTCTTCTGAGACGATTTACCAAGACACAGAGTCACCCTCTCAGGTGGGAGAACTGGACTCTGCTCATTTGAAACACACTCTCCCTGCTTCCTGCAGCTTCTGAAGTGCCCTCTGAGCCGATGAGTTTGGAGTCCTTCCCTGTTTCTGCATTTCTTGGAAGTGGTCAAGAAGGACTGTCTGAGGAGGTAGTTTATTTTCTCTGAAGTGTGTGTAGAACTCACCCTTGAATCCATTTGGACACGAGCTTTCCTCTGCTTAGAGTTTTTGATCAGTACTTCATTTATTTTATAGAGTTTATACCAATCTGCAATGTCAGATTCAAATTCCTATATTGGCACCTATTAAGGGGACAGAGAAATACAACTGTTGACCTTCACAGAGTGTAGAAAGTGCTGAAATAATGGTGTGTGCAGACCACGTGTTTGTATCACATGCCATCCAAGAGAATGAACTCGAACACGCTCCCTGGTATAGAATTCATGAAGTATTGTAGTCCGGAGAATGGACCTCCCTCACCTCCAGCTCCAGCAGCACAAGGGACGGGCGCCAGCTGCTGGTCTCTGACATCCACTGTGGTTTGTGCTGGGGACACAGCTGTGCCCGACCCCGAGACTATGGCTGAGCCCGGTTGTGGCACCAAGGCAGGGCCACTGCTGGGAGACAGGAGTCACCTGAAGGAAGGTCCTGGCTCCAGCCACCTCCGACGCATTTGTGGGGCCTTCGGGAACTGCAGGGGGTTTACACAAGGTCCTCCTCTTGTGGATACACTTCCATGGTATCTGACGGTTTCCTGGGCTCCCCAAGCCCTCTGGATTTTTCTTCCTCCCTAAGATACACTGTCTGTTTACACGAAAAAATGTTTCTACCAATGGAGTAAATCTATTAAAATACAAAGCCATCAGTGGTAGGCACAGAGAGACAGGTGTAGAGACTCTTGGAGGAAATGTCCTATGGAGAGGAACTGGGACCTTGGGAGAAATGAGCCACAAACACCACCTGCCCCTGGTCCTGTGGATGCAGCACAGAGCCTGCGGGTCCTGAGCGCCCCCTGGTGTCCCGATTGGGTGCTCAGCCCAGTCTCCAGAGGCTGCAGGGAGGGTTGTGTGTGGTTCACACTGACGTCCCCTCCCTGTGTCTGCTGCACAGAAATACACGGCTGAGTCCTCGGGTCTCAGGCTGTTCATTTGCAGATACAGCGTGTTCTTGGCGTTGTCTCTGGAGATGGTGAATCGGCCCTTCACAGGGTCTGCATAGTATGTGCTACTTCCACCTGGATTAATGTACGAGACCCACTCCAGCCCCTTCCCTGGAGCCTGGCAGACCCAGTGCATGTGGTTGCTACTGAAGGTGAATCCAGAGGCTGCACAGGAGAGTCTCAGAGACCCCCCAGGCTTCACCAGCTGCACCTCACCCTGGACACCTGCAAACACAAAGATGTCCTCTTCAGGAAACTCTCACACGTCTACTCTTTCTCTCACTCATGTCCACTCACACACTCATTGTCTCTTGTTCTCCATAAATTACCTGTTAAAATAGCAACAAGGAAAACCCAGCTGAGCCCAAGCCCCATGGTGAGTGGTCTGTGTTCAGTCCTGATCAGGGAATGAGAACAGCTGGGGATCCCGGAGCTGTGCTCCTGTCTCAGAGCTTCAGGGTCGGGGCTGGGCTGGTTTTTATGACCAGAGGGGCCTTATTTGCATGTCATCTTGCTATGTAGGGACTCTTGGGTTGGAAATTGACATGAAGGACATTGTCTAAGAGAGTGACATGTCCAATTGTGCATGTCTGCTAAGAACTAGGGCCCACATCTGGGCCTGTGCAATTCTCACTGCACTTAGCTGTTTCCAGAGACCTGTACAAATTTCCAGGAAAGAAGATTGTCATAAAGAGAATGGAGAATAGTTTAAAATGAGAGATGTTTTTCAGATTCAACGGTAATGACGCAGGAGATATCAACCATCACAGCCAGAGGAAGGAGTAAAAGTTCAGGATGAAGATGTTCAGGGGACGGGAAGCCCCATCAGACACTATTTCCCTCAAAGTGTTCAGAGGATGAATCAAGACCAGAGTGTGAATCCAGAGCCAGTGGACAAGTGCTGGGGAGAGTGGAGGGTCTGTGTGGGCCCCTGGGACACAGAAGCATGGATCATGGAGACACAGGCAGAGCCCCCGGGCCATGGCCTTCAGGGGTCGGTGCTGACTGTGTAGCAGCTGCACTGCCTCATGTGCTGTGTTTCTCCTCTGGACCCTGATGGGAACCAGTTTCCTTCCCTGGGGATGGAGAAGTAGCTGCGTCATGACAGGTGTGTTTGGGTGAAGATGTGGGTAATGATTTGTGAGCAATGAAAATGTTATTACTGGAAACATTTGGGTCTGCATGGGACCCGGAGAGCCCTGTCTCCATGTCCCCACATGATGGGAGGGAACTGGAACAGGGGCCTGACTCAGGGCAACACTGGGGAAGCCACCTGGGATCAGGAATGGGGGACGTAACCCAGACTGAGGACACACCACCCAGGGTTCCTGCTCCATTCGGCTCTGACTCTCCTTGTTGTGTGATGGGTTCAAGTTTCCTCTCCTCACTTTCCTCTGAAATAGCCCCACACGTTCCTAGAGTCATGAGACACTGTGGGGAGTGTGCAGGGCACCAGCCCCGTGTGTGCTGACCTCCTACCTCCCATCTCTCCTGGGCTCACTCTCTAGTTCTGTGAATCTCCTGGTGCCGTCTCCAGGGTTTTCTATATAGATCATGTCGTCTGCATACAGATGGGAAGAGATATTTGTGTCCTGTTTCTTCTGACTTAGACACATTTTATTACTTTTTCTTTCCTAATTATTCTGAGAAGGGTGTTCAGTTCTATGCAATAAAAGTAGTGACAGGGGTGCCCAGATCTTGGACCCGATGTTAGAATTGCTTTGAAGTTTTCTCAGTGTAGCATAATGCCAACTGTTTTCTTTTCAAATGTACTGAGTGCTACATAGAGGTAATCACTTCAAAGCCTAATTTATTCAGAATTTTTATCATAAAGTGGCTTTTGCATTTTCAAATTGCTTTTATTCTGTATCTACGTAAATGATGCCATAGTTCTATTCTACGTTCTGTGGATGAGTTATATCACATTTACTGATTTACCAACATGGAACCATCCTTGCATTTCAGGGTGGTAATCGACTTGATCACGGAAAATGATTCTCTCAATGTCCTGTTGGGTTTCCTCGTGTACTGTTGACTTTGGACCTGGGTGAGGGGAGGATGCTGGACTTGTTTTGATCACACGACAGAAATATGCCTGATTCTCATGGACAGAGTGTTACTGGACCTATGGGTTTAGAGTCTCTTCCGGTGAAGACCGAGAAGGAAGCCCAGGGCAGGAAGGAGACAGCTTATATCATCCCAGGAAATCCCTGAGACATTGTGAACAGGAGCTACTTAGAAATAGAGACACTACCAATGCTGCAGGCAGGGGTCACGAGACATAGGAACCTGTCATTGCAAACTGGTGGGAAGGGGATCCCCTGTTAACTACACGCACATCCCCCAGTGTCTCGGTTATGTAGGTAACAACTCCACAGGTCCAGGGATTAGCACTTGGGCACTTTGGGGTCATTGCTCGCGTGTTCTCTACATGGGTCACCCAGCTGCGTAATTCATTGGGTCCCATTTATGAATCTCTCAACTCTTACAGGAAAGAAGGGACACCCCTCCCTGGAGGAGCCACGGTGATGGTGTGTCTGTAAGAGGGGCCTGCATTCTTTTGACCAGATCCCCTGTCTCAACACATCACCATCATCATCATCATCATCATCATCATCATCATCATCTGCTTATTTATGATCATGTTTCTCATGTTCTGTAGACCTTCTTTTGTACACACATAATGAGCCTATATCTCCATTTCTGCTCATTTTTTATAATCGTTCAGTGAAATTTGGAGCCAGATTCTATTTTGTCTCTCCTGTGACTGCTGACAACTGACGGCTCATTCCTGCCTCTTCCCAGTCTGTGACACTCGGGAATCTCATGAGAAACAGTTTCCCCTCTCTTGGCTCCACGAGAGCCCCTCTGACTTGCTGAAGGGCCTTCCCTGTGCTTCCCAGGGATTTCAACTCTGTACGTGATAAACATCCTGTGCCTTGGTTGTGTGCTTGTTCGAAACCTGGACATTTGCACCATGTCGTCCTGGGTCCCTCTGCCTGTGCCTGGTGTCACCTACTCTTGGTGCTGTGACCATGATGACAGGTCAATGAGTGTCACCACCGGGGTCTTTCTTCTGTAGATTTTTGTTCTCACCCCTCAGGTGCCCGCTGTCCTGAACCCATGTGTCCTGCCGCTGGATAGTTGGGACCCTGAGCTGGGGGGCTGAGCTACTCTGTGGAGTCAGCAGAGCCCCCTGTTAGGTTTAAGTGACGGTGGTCAGAAGATTTCACGATTAATTTCATTTGGGGAAAAGAGTCCCTGAAAGAAGACACTCTGCTTATTATCCATGTGAGAAAGTCGTCTCTGTTTACAACAGACTTTTCTAAATGACAGACCTCAGAGGAAAGCACAGAATCAGGAATCCAGAGAGTTTCCTGAGGGAAACTGTGACCTGAAGAGGAAACCAGCCAGGAAACAGCCCAAACCGTCCACTGCACCTGCTGCTGGGAGGGTACTTGTGTTCAGGGACCCTGAGTGCAGTTGGTGGCAGTAGACTCTCCCGCAGCAAGATTTTTGTCTGGCTCACACTGACTTCCCCTCACTGTGTCTCTTGCACAGAAATACACGGCCGAGTCCTCAGATTTCAGGCTGTTCATTTGCAGATACAGCGTGTTCTTGGCGTTGTCTCTGGAGATGGTGAATCGGCCCTTCACAGAGTCTGCATAGTATGTGCTTCCGCCACTACTACTAATGTATGAAACCCACTCCAGCCCCTTCCCTGGAGCCTGGCGGACCCAGTGCATGTAGTAGCTACTGAAGGTGAATCCAGAGGCTGCACAGGAGAGTCTCAGAGACCCCCCAGGCTTCACCACAGCTCCCCCAGACTCCACCAGCTGCACCTCACCCTGGACACCTGCAAACACAAAGACGTCCTGGTCAGGAAACTCTCACCCGTCCACTGTTTCTCTCACTCATGTCCATTCACACTCTCAGTGTCTCTTGTCCCCCATAAATTACCTCTTAAAACAGCCACAAGGAAAACCCAGCTGAGCCCAAGCCCCATGGTGAGTGGTCTGTGTTCAGTCCTGATCAGGGAATGAGAACAGCTGGGGATCCCGGGGCTGGGCTCCTGTCCCAGAGCTGCAGGGTTGGGGCTGGGCTGGTTTTTATGAGCAGAGGGGGCCCTATTTGCATGTCCTCCTGCTATATAGAGAGCTTTGG